AGGTTGGGAAATTAACAATATATATTCTTGGTACCACATGATTTTGGCCTCCCATTAGTCCATTTAAGATGCTCATATTAGCTATACACAATTAAGATATCATGGGAATTCAAATATGAGACATATAATTTGCAAATTAAAATTATTTTTTTACACTAAACTCCGTTGGCCTATTTCTGCATTCTTTGCACAAACAAGATATTATTTAATTACCAATGGTGATCCAAAAGGAGAGATAGCACTTAGAAAATGTTTGCCCCAACAAAAAGTACAGAGCTGTGTGGTTCCTTGGTCGAAATTGGTTGGTAATTAAATTAAGAAAAGCATACGCCTTATGTAAGAGCATCTCCAACTGATGTGTCAAATGTGCCACATAGACATTTAATAACTATAAATAGCATCTCATATCACTCCAACCGATGTGTCAAAGCTGATGTGGAATGAAGACTAGAGGTTGAGATGTTATTTTTGACATCCCAAAAGCAAGATGTCAAATTAATATTTTATTAATTTTTCTTTATTTTTTCTTTTTAACTAAAAATGAATCAACACTAAAATGTAATAAAATAATAATTTAATTTGACTTATCTGGTGGAGTGTAAAGCTGTGTAAGATGTCAAATTGCCACATCAGCCATTAAATTTAAATTTGATATTTGGTATTTGACATCTCCCTTGGAGATGCTCTAAAACATGCATAAAATTAGGTGCTTCATTAAATTATATAATATTTTTACAGTTTTACTAAAGCATTTGTATTTTTTTTAATATGGATTTGCTATCACCTGGCAATGAAGTAAAGTGGGTGTCTTTTTATGCTGTTTTTGAAATGCACGCTCTTATCACGTGGGTCTTGTTCATGGAAGAAAGATAATAACAAGGTTAATATTCTATGCTTTTGTTGTGGGTGACTATCGAAGTTCTCCTTGTTCAAAATTGATTGCTATTGAATTGAAGTGTGTATATATATACATATATATATATATATATATATATGCAGGCAGATTCGCTGCTTTAATTTCTTTGTAAGGTAATGATAAATAATTTGATAAAGCAATGATATATAGCTTTTGGATATCAAACTGATATTGAGAAAGAGAAAACTGCATACAAAACCTTAGATTTAAAGATAAATACTCTGTTGGCTGCGCAAATCTCACGGCCTAGTGCTCCAGGCCGAGGGGATGTGCGTTAACACGTGACGTCCTTCTTTCGGATGCGGTGCGGTTGTGCGCGGGCGTGCCAGCACGGTCTACCGTGTGTCGAGATGATGATGAGGTTTGGGTAGAAGATGGTTAAATAATGAGCCTGTTTTGAGTTCGACTCCTAATCAAACTATTGTGGCCGAGAGAGGAACTGATCTCGGTCATCAGGTTCACGGCCTGAGCTACAAGGTCGTTTAGTGGTGGTGTTGGTGGCGGGTTTTAGGCGATGCTCCGGCGCGTTGCTCAGAGAGCGACGGTCGTATGATATATAGGGTGAATGAGATGATAACATAGATGGTGCTCCGGTGCCTTGAAAATCAAGGGTCGTATGATATATTGATGAATGGATTCTCCTTACAATCTACCACTACTCCTAGGAAAGCAAATAAAGGTATTGAAAGTGCATTACAGGAAAATATAATTTGCTCCGTGGGAGGCTTTTGGTTTGGTGTTTGAACCTGTTGAATGTAGTCTTGAGCTTAGTATTTATAGGGGGAGTCCTAGAGGGACAATCGAGGCTGAAAAGATCTATGTAGTGGAGCCTGATCGGGGCAAATGGGTAGTTAAATCGGCATTTGGGATCTTGAAGCAAGGTGGTGTGACCCCCATAAATTCCGGTAAATCTCGGCCACCGCCTTGATCGTGGGTTCTGCCCCCTTGGCCGTGGGAATTCATTTAATGCCCTGGTCTGGTGGTTGGTGATCTGATCTCAAGTTGTAAGAATACTTGTGAGAATGTTTGCGCCTAACCACTCTGATTTCCATCACCAAATCCTGACTTCAGTCACTTCCCCTATTCCCTCGTGCATTAAATGCTTCTTGCGACTAGTGGGTTTGCTGCGATAGTCAGAGGCATTACTTCATTAAATGGGGCGTGGGACCCTGAGGCCACGTGACAATTTAACCACAATATCTTCGGCCATGTCTTTTACGGCCTTCGGCTTCGACCTATAATACCGCAGTCGCAAGACTGAGAGGATTCTGCCTTTGCAGCTTTTCTTTTGTTTTCAGGAAGGCGAAATGCCTAACGAAACGTGGCCGTTTCAGTTCATGAGTAGGTGCTAGGACCGAGAGGAAGTCCCTTCAGTCAATTTATGACCGTGATTTATTAGGCACAAACATACTCTTAATCATTTAAATTACAAAATCCGAACACATATAGAAAATTATATTCTATCAGAAAATAAATAAGATCAAGACCCACAATTGGGGACACAAATGTTTGTTTGTCCATGTATTTGAAGATGGACCACAAGGGCCATGTGGCTTTGGCTCAATCACAAGCATTAGCTTGGATTTTATCAAGTTCAAACCACAAGGGCAAGCAGATGTGAGTCCCTTACCCATGCAGTCAAATGGGATTATCAATATAATGATACAACAAGTTGACCTCTTCTGCTTAAATTATAAAACCAATTGGCCACAACAAGAACCTTATCAACTTACTTCAGTACCTAAATCTAATGATAAGTGTGCTTTGTGTGTCCAATCATATCACTTAATTTAAAGTGCTCATTGAAATGAAACTACGATTAGCCAACTTAACTAAGTTCTTGTTGCCTGCACTTGCTTTTCACATGGTCATGTCGTTTTTCTCTTTGTCTTTTTTGTTTACATTGCATGGTCAGCTTTAGCCAATACTTAAACATCTATCACACTTGAATTTTGTGTCACTCAATCAACCTTGATGATATGCTATCAATTAAGTGGTCAGATTATTAAAATAGTTTAGATTTAACGAAATACATGTAAATGTAGACATCGGTGAATTCATGAATTTTTTTATGCAACTGGCAAAATGTAGAAGTTCAAAACATTTACCACCAATCATGATTATGTTATAATTTCTATATTGAAAACAAAGATACAATGACAAACCAAAAATGAAGATCAGTGAAACCCAAAATTGTAATAATCAAACAATTAATCACACCATGATTCATTCATGAACACTAAACTAGCCTATCCTCAAAGAAAGTACATAAGATATTTTACATACAAGATTTCACCCCCATCCCTATCCTCTTAAAGGATTTTTGTCAAACACCTTACCCCATTGCAGTATACTCGAACATGATTTCAATAGAGATTTTGGGGTAATAGCATCCACTCCTCCTTGGGTGAACATGCCACGTGTTGATGAGAGACAGTTTGATTGCTCCAGAAAAGCCAAAGTGGCAAACTGATCTAGATAGTCTCCTCATACCCTGGTTATAGTGTGTGATGTTGATTTGATTTGATGCATGGAAAGTTATAAGGGCATGCACTATGGACCTATCACAAAGGGACGCGTGTACACCTCAGAAAGGTTTAAATGGCTCTTGCATATTATTTAGTCAAATACATCCTTCCTCCTTTTTTGTTGGCATCAGTGGCATTACGAAGTAAGATAAATTACAGATAAGTTGCTCTGAGTCACTGAATGCAAAGCTCAACTTTTTGGCTGTCATGTCTGCAGACAATGGATTCCATAATCGAAACAATTTAGATAAAAAGGTACATGTTCCTCACTTGTTTTTCAACCTTTAAGCATTTGAGTTGTTTAACATGATATCAGAATTTTAGTTTCGAGAAGTTTGAAATACGATTCTAAGAGCAACTCCACCCATTTGCCTTTAGTCATGGCAATGGGGGAGTTAGGGCAACCATTATTCACGTGAATAGTAGTTCCCTTTGCAAATAGTATTTTCCATTTTTACCCGTTGTCATGGCAAAATTTTTTTTTTTTTTTTTTTTTTTTTTTTTTTTACTTACTACATACTAATTTGGATAATATTTTTGGGTTCCTACGTGTCAATACTATTCATATCTCATAATCGGATAAAATTTTCAATTTCAAATTTCAGATTTTAAAAAAAAAAGGCTGGTATAATTCATTAATTTTGGGTATTTTAAAAAAAAATTTCCGAATTTTTTCCAGTATTTTATTGCAAAAAAATTGGCTGCCCTTTGATTAGAGGAAAAAATCAGATCGGAGAGCCCAGACGACGCCACATGGCAACAGAAAAAAAAAAATCAAATCAGTGGGGTATTGTAGCGGATACTGTAGCACTGACGTCAGCAACCCTCGTTTTGGACCTTGGGCTGAAGCTGCCTTTGGGCCAACTCGAGTTGGTGGGTCCCACACCTCCCCCCCCTGCCTGGGCTCTCCGCTAGAACCCATTTTTGGCGAAAAAATCCCCCAGCCCGAGGCAAAGGGGCCTTGCTGGAGTTGCTCTAAGGCTGTAATTTATGTATTCATTTATATTTTTAAATGTAGAAAAATGTTATTAGTTTGATTCATGCTATTGTTAACCGATTTCTTGACGGTTTATAATTTTTGTGATTTACATTAAAAAGACTTAGAGCAACATGTTTATGGGCACAATTCCGAACTCGAATCCCAAATTATATGGATTTTGTTGTTTCGACGAGGCAAGTGAACATTTCCTTTTCTACTTAACAAACAAACTAATGATATGTTGATTTTATACAGAGCAATTCGTCGTCCAAATTATTCATTGCTTGAGAACCCAACCCAATATTGGTAATGGACAAGGTTCGAAGCCAGCCCATTATTAAAAAGAAAAGAAAAGAAAAGAGAAAAAGAAATAGGTGTGTTGGCGATTGGACGGGTCGACCCGAACGTTTGGTTTCTTGGATTCTTGGTTTTCGTGGTTGCTGTTGGTTACAGACTACAGTTAAGGACAGGGGCTTTGGCACTTGGCAGAGGAAGAAAGAAAGAAAGAGCGAGAGAGAAGAGAGAAGAGAGAGAGAGAGAGAAAAAGGTCAGTGGTGCCGTGGTGAATGTTCTTTCCATGGCGACCCTTCCCTCCTTCGTCTCCTTCTCTTCTTCTCTTCCTCTACTTCCTCTGCGCCCTCCTCCTCTTTCTCCTCTTATCTTCTCCACCTCTAACCTCAACCCTAGAAGATTCTCAGGCCTAGTTCTCGCTTCTTCCTCCGCTTCTCCTTTTGACGATCTCAGCTCCAGAAGCAGCTCGCGCCCAATTCAATCCTCCAAATCCAAGGTCAGCTATTATTTTTCTCTCGAATTTTAACTTGGTTCGTACTGTTAAGCTAGAATTGCGGTTTAAGAGATGGAATTTAGACTGAATTGGCAGTGAGTTCAAAGCATCGGTGTTCATAAAACTCTGTAGATTGTGGGCAAATTCTATTGAATATATCACATATGTAGAGAGAGAGGTATCAAGTTTTAGAAATTGATAGAATGATAACATAGTGCTGTGAATTTGTTTAATTAAACTAGTTTCGAGTTTTTCGATGAACTTGCCTATCATATTTGCATTTGTGTGTTTCGACGAACCCCCAATGCTTCAATGACATTTAGCTCCTTCGCACATATATTTCTTAACAATAATCTTGTCATTTGTTTGATTTGCCCATTCTTTTAGAAATCAGTTCTCTCGGATTTGATACAAGAGATAGAACCCTTGAACGTGAGCCTTATTCAGAAAGATGTTCCACCTACTACCGTGGATGCCATGAAAAGGACAATTTCGGGCATGTTGGGATTACTTCCATCTGATCAATTTCAAGTTCTTATTGAGGCCTTATGGGAACCTCTATCTAAGTTGTTGGTTTCTTCAATGATGACTGGGTATGTTAATCTTCTATATCCAATGCAACAATTTAGTTATGTTTTGTAATTCTCCTTTTCAGCTGTTCTGAGAGGGAACTCTAATATTGTTTGGTCAAATTGTTTGCTTCTCTTCTATTAAAGCCTGTATTTAGTTTTTCTCACTCCTTAGCCAATTACAGGTTTGATGTTTGTGTTTATTTGATGCAATGGAACTGATACTCAAATAGTTAGCTAGTTAAAATTGACATACTATTATATGTTGGTACTTAAAGTACGTTTGTATTTATTAACAACAAATGTGAATCAAAATTCTGGAGGTGTACTTGACATCCTATAGAATTTCTTCATTAATTGCAGGTATACCTTAAGGAATGCTGAATATAGGCTTTGCCTAGAACGGAATTTTGATATGTGTGACAAAAAACTTGAAAAACAAACACCAGAAAATTCTGAGGTTGATTTGCAAGGGATGTTGCTTGAAAGTGCAAACATAATCAAATTTCCTTCAAAAGATGAGTTTTCATCCAAAGATGGAGAGGTTACTGAAGACTCATTGGAGAATATTGATATTCAAGGTCTTGGTGAAGTGTCTCCTGAGGCTCTACAATACATTCTTCATGTGCAGGCTCATTTATCTTCTGTCAAAAAGGTATTCAGTAGTGTTATATGGAATCTTCCATGGTAGGAAAAGAAGTTCAAGTTAATGACATGAATTTGTTGGGTTTCACGATTCATTCAGTGGTCAGCTCAGCTTATCACGCTCTTATGTGGAAGCATCTAAAGTAATGTTCTGTTTTGTCCCATGCTTAACTCTAGAAACGGTAAAGTGATAGGCACTTGTTAAAAGCATTGAAGAACAAGGGTGGAATGGAAGTGTTGGCCTCAGCAAAATTGTATTTAGAGATCACGTGTGTACTAATTCAAGTTGCTGGGTTTGGAAGTTTTGTTGGTTGTATGAACGAGTCATTGTTTAGTGCTAAAGTTGATGGGATGCCAATGGTCATCCCTTGTACAGCAGAGTGAAGTGATGGGTTTGCGTAATATAGAAGGCCATAATGCTGTCTTTTATGCAAGTCCAAGTTTGTACCACAGAACCAGAAAGTTTTATCATTTGCTTATACTGATTGAATTTTCTTCTGATAAAAAATTAGTCTTTTAATTGCAGTTATCAGAAACAAAGTAAACCATGTATGTTTTGAATTTCTTTTCTATTTCCAAGTGAGTTTCCATTGGCATTGATTGAGATTTTCTCCATTTTTCAAAGGAATTCTCATGTTTACCTTTTTTGTTTTCTTGAAGGAACTCCATGATGTCAAGAGAAAAAGTGCTGCTCTTCAAATGCAACAGTTTGTTGGAGAAGAAAAGAATGATTTGCTGGACTATTTGAGATCACTACAGCCAGAAAAGGTTTCCATTTAATACAACATTCAAAAGTTATTTTCTTAATTTGGCCTTCCAAATAGTAGTTGAATTCAGCATTGCTGATGGTGGATCTTTGTGCATAGTCATATGCTAGTGATCTGGGGGTAGGTACTGCAGGCTTTACATTAGATTTGGTGATTATTAGCTTTTTAATGCTAGCTCTTGTACACCAGTACCATCCTGCAGTGAATAGTATGTCTTTGGAGCCTAACGAAACTTTTTGCTCCAGGGGATTTACCCTACAACCTTGATCAATGAAGTTCCTCGTAATCCCCTTTATTGATAAAATGACATAAGAAAAAGAAGTGAAATTAGTAACAGTTGGTCAGACATCCTTCTTTCCTTTTCCTATTCTCTATACATGCAAAATGGTGTTAATGCTATTTGTTTCTTCCTTTTTCAAGGATCACATCATAGCAATTCCTAACATTTTTTGTTTAACTTGGAAAAAAAGTCCAGGTTTACTACTGATGTTATTTCAGAGTACCAGTTGCATTGCTACCATCCTACCTCTAACATCGGAAAATAGTCTCGTTTTCCACCGGTTGATGGATTTCATAAACTATTAAATCTTCATCGTGCTCTAAACTCCTTGAGTAGCCAGATTAGGCCATCAATGCAATCCTTCACTTTCCCCCATCTTTTAAACTAATAATATATGCTGACATGGTAGTCTAATTCATGTCCATGGATGTATAGGGATGATGTGGCTTTTGGTTAACTGTCGGACTCGTTGGACATTATCAGGTTACAGTAACATAATTCTACATTGATCTTTCTAATTTTTCTTCCTGTATGTTAGATTGTACAATAGTTGATAATCACTACCAGATTTCCTCCTCCATGTTTCTCTGCAGTATGGTTGTGCTCTAACCTTGGGGTATTTATGGGTAAAAAAATTTCAAGTATAGCTTCGTCTAGTAACCCCGGCTGGGCTGGTTCTGATTATATCTTGTGACTGACACAATAAACCCTATGAACAGGTAGCTGAGTTATCAGAACCAACATCACCTGAACTGAAAGAAATAATCCACTCTGTTATCCACGGTCTACTTGCAACCCTTTCACCGAAGATGCATTCTAAGGCACCTCCTTTATCTGATAATGCCTCAACTGGAGTATTAAATGTTGGGAGTGAAGATTGTGCTGAGCTTGTTGAGAACACTTCACTTCAGTTTCAGCCACTTATTTCATTAACGCGGGACTACCTAGCACGTCTCCTCTTCTGGTTAGGCCAGCTCCTTTTTCTGTTCTTATTATGCTAAGGTTTTTTTTCGGTCCATTCTATTCCTTTTCTGTTGGGCACTTTATTGTGTGGTAATTTGGAATTTGACCCGACAAGACATTATTCAATCCCTTCTTTGTTCTATTACCTTGAAGATATAGTCCTACAAATGCTCCTGTCATCCATTTTCATTCATCCAGTTTTTTCTTTTTCTGAAGGTGCATGCTTCTAGGACACTACCTCAAAGGTCTTGAGTATCGGATGGAGCTGACAGAACTTTTGTCCCTGACTAACGATGCTGAAAGTGATACCCTTGATGGCAACCAAATTGCATAAATGCTCGTCTCCCTTCTGTCCATTTGTATATAGATGTGTTGATTAGTGCATGCAAAATATGTTCTTTTCAATATGATACCAAAGCCTCAAAGTGAGGCATAATCGTATAAGTGTCGCAAAATACACTTGTGTACGGAATTTTCATTTGAATTCAAAATTGTATTATATAGTTCTTAGTTCAATCCATACAAGAGAAGGGAAGTACGGGTTAGTCTTGGTCTGATACCAGTGATAGAACCTATCATTCTACCAAACTCAAAATATCTTAACTTAGTCAATGAAAGCCTATGTTATTCGATTAATTCAAGAACAATTTCTGTTTCTTACGAGCATGAATAACTAATGAATTATTAGTTACCTAATATAGTTGCTTTCATACCAAGTAACCACCCTAACAAACTTAACAACTTCATGACCAATGGTCCAGTACCTTCTGCAAAACACTTGATCCTCTTTGTTGATAGTCTTCTGGTCGGTCTCTTTGTAATCGAAGGAAGAACAATTGAAGAATCTAAGGAAGAACAAGTGAAGAACAACTGCGCCAATTGCATCCAATTGCATCATTGCTGACCACGCCTTTCCCAATGTATGATGTAGTCATAACAGGAGTATCATATGCCTCCCTTCACACTTGAAATAACCCTCAATCTAATCATAAACACAATCTATGTTTGCTAGCATTGTAACCACTGCATGAGTACATGGAAACCCATCAATTTGCAATATTAACAAAATCAATAATGACTGGACCACATGAATTATTGCAAAGACTATTATAGCCTTAGAATCCCATCAATCTTGATTTGTTGTCTTTCACATACTAACTTCATCTCTCCCAGCTACTGACATACGGCCAATTTGGTTCTCTCCAACACCTTACTTAATCTTTGTGTAGTTTAAAAATTTAGGTCCAACTCTAATTTGTTCATCTCTACAGTGCTCACTGCTCCCACTTTGGCATGGTACGCATTGCTATAACATCTATAGTCACAGATAAAGTAATTCACCTAGCACATACAAATTGAGCATGAAAACTGTGCTGCAGACTCCCGGCAACAATTATGATCATGGCAAATAGACACATGCTTTGCTTTTTGTTAAACCTTGGCGGCTCAGAATTATAAAAGCAACAAAAGTCTGCCATGTGGCATGCATTATATATTTGGTCATGTGGAATCTGCCATTTATGGCAAAATACACACACACAAATAAAACGATCCCGAAAATTGTTAGAACTTGATGGCTAAAATGTCTAGTATGGCATATATTCAGTAGCAAAGGAGGAGAGGGAAGTATTACAGATAGATAGGCGAGTTCCGATTTGATTCAAATGCGACTTCAAACCCCATACGATTCAAATTGGTTTCGTTTTACGCTTCAAACTGATAGTATAATTGATCCAAATCAATCTATGTACGGACTCGTGGATTGATCATTTTTCTTCATAAGCAATTGAGAAAATATTATATATTACTACATATTCTTCATATATGAAAGTACATACTCTTAATAGTTGAGAAAACTTTTTACTGCTAAAAGTACTGACATAAGAAAAAGAAGTGAAATTTTAAAAAAAAACATGACCCTGATCAGCCAAAGATGCTCTGGGCTTGAAGCCCCAAGGCTCCACACGTGTCTCAACCCATCGCGCAAGTCTCTCGGACGTTTTATCTGTGACTCCTCATTCCTTTCTTAAATGGTATACAAATTAGCTTTCTATTTTTTTTGGATATATCGAGAATTAGCTTTCTATTAAGAAAAATTATTAATTAGGATCAAGATTGGGACATGATTAATTAAATGCTTGTGTTGAAAATAATGAAAAAAACAGATATAAAAATACAACTACATACAACAATCAATTTTATGTTACAATTTTCAAAGTGTACATATATAACAAATTTTAAAAGTTACAATGGAAAGCACGAAAAGAAGTAATATTATTGAAAATAAAAACAAAATTTTGAAATGTTAATATATACAAGTATAATACATTATCTTAAAATACCCATACATTTTATATTTGAACATCACAACATGAGTGTTTAATAAGAATATATATGTTCATGTATAATGTGTATTTACTAACTCAATTAATACAAGTATTCTCCCTATTTCATATAGGAGGGGTTCTCTCCTTCTTGATTTATATTGAGACAAGTAAAGGAGCCAGATATATCATATGCATTTGACTTAAGGACAGATATAATATCAATAGACAGATTCATATAAGAGAGCAAGTGCAATTAATTATGAATAAACACAACATTTTTATGGCAATTGAGAATTGACATCTAAAACTTCGTTAGTTAAGTTTGTATGCATTGGATTACTGAATTTTTTAGAGATACACAACTTAAACAACATGAAGATTGAGTTGTCACAACAATACTAATACACGTCGTGAATTCCTTTTAAAAAAATATACACGTTAGTTTCTTATTAAAAAGACGCGTTAATACGCCGCTACTAAAATGACATACCTAACATAAAAACATATAATAACACTCCATTTTTTAATAGGAACATGTGTATTATGCCAATAAAGAGTTCAAATCTTTATTGTAAAATAAAGGATGCTCAATTTTATTTATTTATTTTTAATTTTTGGTAACAAGGTGGGCTAAAAGCGCACAACAAGATGCTCAATTTTTTGAATTACCAACAGAACGTTTTATCCATAGATTATAGAAAATTAAATCCAATTTAAATTCGCAAAAAACTATGCATATCTTAAACATTTGATTCTACTTTGGCTGGTGAGGGTCATATTTCATGCAAGAATAGATTGATAAGATTTATACCTTTTCTCTTTCTAAAAACCCTAAAAGCTGTTAACCCAAAGGAACATTCCTCCTATTACTCATACAATTCCCTTCTATTATCCTTAAATCTATTCTTTTTTTCAAACTACAAAATCTTTTTGTTGATGTCTTATATTAATTCGGATTCTCTATATGAGTAAAAAAAAACCCCAAATTTTTTAGCACCCTTTTAACAATAACATAGATGGAGAGGCAGGGACCCATTAATACTACAGCAGCATCAAACAACAGGATCCTTTTGTTACTTCCTCCTACACCTTACCCAAAAACCACCTCTGCCGCGAATTGCCTTCTGAAAACCATCATATCTATGGGATCTTTTTTCAAAACACCATGTTGCCAAACAATCCCTACCAAAACCTTACTCCCTAAAAAAATACCAATCCTAATGACCATCATTGTCTGACTCCATAAATCCTAAACTCTAAACCCTAATATGGTAGCTCTGTCACAGGGAAGAACATTTGTCTTACTCCTTCAAAGTTGATTATGAGTAATATGATCCCTGAAGCACCCAGCAAAAGATTGGGAAAAGTCAAAATAATTATAAAAAGGGCATTGTTAGATGCAACTAAAAGTCACAATGAATGGAGATATTTACACACCAAAATCAGTCTAGCTCCAACCCACATGCTTTTGGGTGAACGAAATGGAAGCAACAAGAGCCCAACAGCATAGACAGCCACATCAAAGAAGTGAAGAACCAAGCCTTAGACTCAAATCAATCTTGATTTATTGTGAAGGATATGCTAACTTCATCTCACCCACCTTTCCCAACGAATAGGCAAAGAAATGATTTTATGGCCCATATGTGACTTATGTGATCGTAATAGTGATATATGACCAATTTGGTTCTCTCCAACACCTTAGCTTAATCTTTGTGGTTACATACAGTTTAAAATCTAGATTCAACTCTAATTTGTTCATCTCTGCGGTGCTCACTGCTCCCACTTTGGCATTGTAGGCATTGCTATAACATGTGTAGTCACAGATAGAGTAATTCACCTAAACAAAATGAGCATGAAAATTGTACTGCAGACGATTATGATCATGGCAAATGACACATGCTTTGCTTTTTGTTAAACCTTGCTGGCTCAGAATTATAAAACCAACAAAAGTCTGCCATTTGACATGCATTATATATTTGGTCATGTGGAATCTGCCATTTATAGCAAAAAACACGAACACAAACAAAATGATCCCGAAAATTGTTAGAACTTGATGGCTATACTGTCTAGTATGACATATGTTCAGTAGCAAAGGAAGAGAGGGAAGTATTACAAATAGATAGGTGAGTTCCCATTTGATTCAATTCGGCTTCAAACCGCATATGATTCAAATTGGTTTCGTTTTACACTTCAAATTGACAGTATAATTGATCTAAATCAATTTATTTATGGACTCGTGGATTGATATTTTTCTTCATAAGCAATTAAGAAAATATTCTATATTAGTACATATTCTTCATATATCAAATGAAAGTACATGCTCTGAATTGAACAATAGTTGAGAAAACTTTTCACTGCTAAAAGTACTGACATAAGAAAAAAAAGTGAAATTAAAAACCAAAAATAAAATAAAATGACACCACTGGATCGTAGGCCCTGTTCAGCCAAATATGCTCCGGGCTTGAAGCCCCAAGGCTCCACACGTGTCTCAGCCCATCGTGCAAGGCGATTAAGGCCACCAAGTTCTCAGACGTTTTTCTGTGACTCCTCATTCCCTTCTTAACAAAACCCCGAGAAAAAAAAATTCCCCTATCGGAAAGGTACAAATTAGCTTTCTATTTTTTCATATATCGAGAGTTCGCTTTCTATTAAGAAAAATTATTAATTAGGAGCAGGATTGGGACAAGATTAATTAAATGCTTGTGTTGACAATAATGTAAAAAATAGATATAAAAATACAACTACATACTACAATCAATTTTATGTTACAATTTTCGAAGTGTACATATATAACAAATTTTAAAAGTTGCAATGGAAAGCAAGACAACAAGTAATATTATTGAAAATAAAAACAAAATTTTTAATTTTTAATTTTTAATATATACAATACAAGTATAATACATTATCTTAAAATACGCATATATTTTATATTTGAACATCACAACATGAGTGTTTAAGAATATATAATATATGTATTTACTAACTCAATTAATACAAGTATTCTCCGTATTTCATATAGGAGGGGTTCTCTCCTTCTTGATTTATATTGAGACAAGCAAAGGAGCCAGATACATGTATTAGAAACAAACTACCTTGATAGATCATATGCATTTGACTTAAGGACAGATACAATATCAATAGACAAATTCATATAAAAAAGTAAGTGCAATTAATTATGAATAAACACAACATTTTTATGTCAATTGAGAATTGACATCTAAAACTTCGTTAGTTAAGTTTGTATGCATTGAATTACTCAATTTTTTAAAGATAAACAACTTAAACAACATGAAGATTGAGTTGTCACAACAATACTAATACACGTCGTGAATTCCTTTAAAAAAAAATATACACGTTAGTTTCTTATTAAAAAAACACATTAGTATCTATATATGCCGCTACTGAAATGTCATACTTAACATGAAAACATGTCATAATCATAACACTCCAATTTTTTTAATAGGAAGATAAGTGTATTATGCCAATAAAGAGTTCAAATCTTTATTGTAAAATAAAGGATGCTCAATTATATATATTTTTTTTGGTAACAAGGGGGCTAAAAGCCCACAACAAGATGTTCAATTTTTTGATATTACCAACAGAACGTTTTAATTATAAAAATAACATAAATGGAGAGGCAGGAGAAGCAAATCTTTTGGGATCCTACTTTGGAGAAGCTTTTCAAAACGGCATGTTGCCAAACAATCCCTACCTAAACCTTGCTCCCTCACAAAATACCAATCCAATGACCATCTTTTTTCCCCTGCCAATAGTCTCCAAAACTCACCATGTAACAATGGTTTCTTACAAGCATGCATATCTAATGAATTATTAGATACATAATATAGTTGCTTTCTTACTAAGGATTGGACAACTGGAATTATTGTGAAAAACTATTATGGACTTAGAATCCAAACAAGAAATCAGTATTGTGAAGGATATGCTAACTTCATCTCTCCCAGCTTTCCCAACGAATAGGCAAAGAAGAAGGATTTTATGGCCCATATGTGACTTATGTCTGTAATAGTGAAATATCACCAATTTGGTTCTCTCCAACATCTTAGCTTAATCTTTGTGGTTACATGCAGTTTAAAATCTAGATTCAACTCTAATTTGTTCATCTCTGCGGTGCTCACTGCTCCCACTTTGGCATTGTAGGCATTGCTATAACATGTGTAGCCACAGATAAAGTAATTCACCTAGCACAATCAAGATGACCATGAAAATTGCACTGCAGAGGATTATGATCATGGCAAATTGTGCTTTGCTTTTTGTTAAACCTTGGCGGCTCAGAATTATAAAACCAACAAAAGTCTGCCATTAGGCATGCATTATATATTCGGTCATGTGGAATCTGCCATTTATAGCAAAAAACACACACACAAATAAAATGATCCTGAAAATTGTTAGAACTTGATGGCTATAATGTCTAGCATGGCATACATAGGCGAGTTTCGATTTGATTCGAATTCGACCTCAAACCCGCATACAATTCAAATTGATTTCGTTTTGCGCTTCAAACTTATAGTATAACTGATCCAAATCAATCTATTTACCGACTCGTGAATTGATCATTTTTCTTCATAAGCAATTAAGAAAATATATTCTCACATTTTAAAATGATAAAAGAAAAAGAAGTGAAATTAAAAACCAAAAAAATAAGACACCACTGGATCGTAAGCCCCGTTCAGTTAGTCCAAAGGACCAAGCGAATAACTGTACCATCGGCCAAGGATACTCCGGGCTTGAAGCCCAAGGCTCCACACGTGTCTCAGCCCATCGCAAGGCGATTACGGCTCCAAGTTCTCGGAGGTTACCTGTTTCCAGGCCTGCATCTCTGCAGTTAGTGGCCCGGGGACTTTCCTGAGCCTGGTTCCTTTTACAGAACCGTAGCCCATTCGCTTCGCCCAGTGGTGTCGGGATTTTGAGTCTCGATGCTGGATTATAAACAATCCTAAAACCTCTTGTCTAGCCGATGTGGGATGTAAAGATAACATGTTAGGAAAACAATTTTCATTTCGTCAAAAGCTTCAAAGTTGCTTCTGCTGCTCATCTCAGTCTGCTCTTCACCTTCATACACTCCCAGCCAATCCAAAGCTCAATATTTCCACCGACTTAGCTGCTTCCCTACAGGGTCGTATTTCATACCCTCGTCTCCTTCAAATCCATGGTCAAGTCTTTCAAGTTGGTGCTCAGCAGGACAACCTGATCGCCACTCGTCTCATTGGCCATTACCCATCTCATCTCGCTCTCCGAGTCTTTCATCAGCTCCAAAAACCCAACATTTTTCCTTTCAATGCCATTATCAGGGTCTTTGCGGAGGAGGGTTTCTTCTCCGATGCGTTTTTCCTCTTCAAAAGCTTAAAGCAGACGTCGCTTTCCCCTAATGACTTCACCTTCTCTTTCCTTCTCAAGGCCTGCTTTCGCTCTGAAAATTCTCGTTATGTCAAACAAATTCATACCCATGTTACGAAAATGGGGTTTCTTTGCAACTCATTTGTCTGTGCCAGCCTACTTGCAGTGTATGCGAAGGGACTTAAGGATTTGGGTTCTGCACGTTTGGTGTTTGATGAAATGCCTGAGAAGAGTATCGTATGCTGTTGGACATCGTTAATTGCTGGTTATGCTCTGTCAGGTCAGAGTGAGCAAGTTTTGCGGCTTTTCTTAATGATGGTTGATGAGAATTTGCGGCCAGAAGATGATACAATGGTTAGTGTTTTGTCTGCGTGTTCAAATCTTGACATAGTTGATGTTGAGAAATGGGTTACAATTCTATCCGCAGTCGTCAGTAATGTTGACGCTAAGAAGTTTGGTTGTGACTCTGTCAACACTGCACTTGTTTATTTGTATGGGAAGTGGGGAAAGGTTGAGAAGAGTCGGGATCGATTTGATCAAATTTCTGATAATGGAAAGCAAAGTGTGCTTCCTTGGAATGCAATGATAGGTGCATTTGTTCAGAATGGTTTTCCTATGGAGTCTCTCAGTCTTTTCCGCGTAATGGTGGAAGATCCCAAGTATAGGCCTAACCATGTTACAATGGTCAGCGTGCTTTCAGCTTGTGCTCAAATTGGTGATTTAGACCTCGGCAGGTGGGTTCATGAATACTTGAAATCTAAAGGAAGCAAAGGTGTGATAGGATCAAACAGAATTCTAGCCACTGCATTGATCGACATGTATTCCAAATGTGGGAGTTTGGAGAGAGCAAAAGAGGTTTTCGATCAGATGGTCTCCAAAGATATTGTTTCATTCAATGCCATGATCATGGGTCTTGCAGTTAACAGTGAAGGAGAGGAGGCCTTAAGGCTACTCTCTAGAATCCAAGAGTTTGGTTTACAACCCAATGCGGGTACGTTCCTTGGCGCTTTATGTGCATGCAGCCACTCTGGTTTATCCGAGGAAGGACGTCAAATATTTAACGACATGGCCTCAAGCTTTTCTGTTTCTCCGAAATTAGAACATTATGCTTGCTACATTGATCTCCTTGCAAGAGGAGGCCTAGTTGAAGAGGCTCTGGAGGTTGTAACATCCATGCCCTTTGAGCCTAATAGTTTTGTGTGGGGTGCTCTGCTTGGGGGCTGCCTGCTCCACTCAAGAGTAGACTTGGCTCAATATGTTTCCAACAAACTGGTTCGATCGGACCCTGACAATTCAGGAGGCTACATAATGCTGGCTAATGCATTTGCATCTGATCTTCGATGGGGTGACGTCTCCGCGCTGAGGTGGTTTATGAGGGAGAAGGGGGTCACCAAGCAGCCTGGCTTCAGCTGGATCAGCGTCGACGGCGTGGTGCATGAATTTCTCGTGGGGTGCCCGTCACACCCTCAAATTGAGAGCATATATAATACGCTAGTTGGATTGGTGAAGGAAATGAAGATAGCAAGTGTATAGGGAGTTCACAAGCACCCAAGCAGTCGAGATGAACGCTGATTTTGTCAACTTCTGTTTTTTCCATGGCATTGCCTTCACTTTGGTTTTTGGACGTATGTTTTTCCCTTTAGGTTAATCCGACAAATATTGACCATTTTACATGAGCCAAGAACTATTTCCACCTGAGTTTGCAAAACTCAACTATTTTGACAAAAAAAGAACTGTTGTAACCTCTTGGGGATTTAAAAAGACCCAAATACCTTGTATCGAATAAATGGCCGAACTACCAATGGGTTCCACCACAGTGGTGGTGGTGGATTCCCCCTCCCCCCATGGCACCCATGATCGAAATCAATGGAGTTTCTTTCCTTCAATATAACCAAAAATAAAAAATAAATGGTCAAACTATTTAGTTAAGAGTATTTACCCCTCCACTTGAGATCCGACTTCCCCTCCCCCAATATTTGTATTAAAGAAAAAAGTCTGAAAATCAAAATAGTTAACACGTTAAAACAGATCATGTGATGCAATTTTCCTATCTCTTATGTGTCATATCCTAAAATTAAAGTTAATTCCCCTATCTCCTATGTGTCACTTTGGTCTCTAACTCTAACTTTCAACTGGACCCATAATCTCCCCAAACTTAATTATGTGCATCAAAATGGCCTTGTAATTAACTCTCGGTTTTTTTTTAATGTACAAAATGAGCATGTACCAAGTATATGAAAATTTGCAGACATGAATTAGACCAATGAGTTAAAATAGTTTGTCCGTTTCTGTGCAGCAAAGTTCAATTCACCTCCTTGTACATTAGAATAATATAGAATATCACTTTATTTAAAAAAAAATTACCATTTTTTTTCAGTAACATAATCATTTTTTTGTACCCTAAATATTAATTGAAAGATAAAAGTAAGAAAAAAAGATAGAAAAATAAAAAGAAAATAACAATGCTAGAAGGTTGCGGACGACACCAATTTCAACGAACCGCCTGCTTAATTAGCACAAATATATTGACAACGTTGGAGTTGGAGATGAAACTTCCAAGTAAATATTTTTTTTTGGTGATGAAATTTCTTATAGGTATATGGACAAATTACTTGCATATGTTCCTCGTATTTTTAAAATTTAAAAAAAAAGAAAAAAGAAGACCTGCATGTTCTTTACTTATGAAGCAAGGAAGATACCATACAAAATGATACAATTTGTTTTGTATTAATAAATGAGAAATCAATCATATATTTGCTAGTTTCGAAACAGATCTTTCCTTTTCTGTTCGACCCTAAAGAATTTTGTCATTTTTTTTTTCAATTTCTCTCTCCTGAGGTCAGCTGAGCAAAGCAAAATTATTGATTGAACCATAACGAAGTATTTAAGCTTGACTCAAACACTTCACGGCCTTCCGTCTTATCTGTGACTCCTTATTCTCTTCTTAACAAAACTCCGAAAAGAAAAAAAAACCCCTATCGGAATGGTATACAAATTAGATTTCTATTTTTATTTTTTATATCGAGAATTAGCTTTCTGTTAAGAAAATTATTAATTAGGAGCAGGATTGGGACATGATTAATTAAATGCTTGTGTTGACAATAATGAAAAAAAATAGATATAAAAAGCAAGACAACAAGTAATTTTATTGAAAATAAAAATAAAAATAAAAATAAAAATTTGAAATTTTTATATATACAAGTATAATACATTATCTTAAAATACCCATATGTATTTTATATTTGAACATAAGCGTTTAAGAATATATACGTTCGTGTATAATGTGTGTATTTAGTAACTCAATAAATACAAGTATTCTCCGTATCTCATATAGGAGGGGTTCTCTCCTTGTTGATTTATATTAAGACAAGTAAAGGAGCCAGATACATGTATTAGAAACAAACTACCTTTATAGATCATATGTATTTGACTTAAGGACTGATACAATATCAATAGACAAATTCATATAAAAAAGTAAGTGTTATAACATAACATTTTTATGTCAATTGACATCTAAAACTTCGTTAGTTAAGTTTGGATGCATTGCATTACTCAATTTTTTTTTAAAAACAACTTAAACAACATGAAGATTGAGTTGTCACAACTATACTAATACACGTCGTGAGTTCCTTTTAGAAAAATATACAGGTCAGTTTCCTATTAAAAAAAAATGCGTTAGTAATCTATATGCACCGCTCCTGATGAAATGTCATACCTAACATGAAAACACGTCATAACTTCAGTTTTTAATAGGAACATAAGTGTATTATGCCAAATACAGAGTTCAAACTGTTATTGTAAAAGAAAAGATGCTCAATTTTTATTTTTTTTGGGTAACAAAGGGGGCTAAAAGCCCTCAACAAGATGATCATCTCCAAAAAATAAAAATAAATGGGAAAATGAAGATTAAATCCTTGATCATCCTAACTTCTTACATCGTTTTATGTACTACGCATGGGAGACAAAATATTTTCCTTTTATTTTTTTCTTCCTGGTTAGTTGAGCAAATTTCTCGGATTCATTATTTATCGCATGCAAATTTGTTTTAGTTTAAACTTGCCGTATATATATTTATGTACTAAAGTTTTTAAAATTAGACCTGGATAGGACGCGCTTGAGAGGAGCGTGAGCCAAAATGAACGAAGTGTTTTTTTTTTAATTTCTTCGATTCTATTGGCTGTGAGAGGGTCATATTTCATGCAATAATAGATTGATGAGATTTAGACGTTTTTTTTTTCTCTTTCGAAAAACCCTAAAAGCTGTTAACCCAAAGAAACATTCCTCATATTACTCAAACACTTCCCTTTTATTATCCTTAAATCTTTTCTTTTTTTCAAACTACAAATCTTTTTGTAGATGTCTTATATTAATTCGGATTTCTCTATATGGGTTAAAAAAAAAACCCAAAACTTTTAGCACAAAAACCCTAGTCATATATATATATGTTCCCCATTGTGCAAACTATACAGGTTAGAGTTTGTGTTACTTAATTCAAAGAGATTTCTAAACCCAGCTAATCCCTTTTGCAAAACCCTTCATCTCGTTCTCTCTCTGTATTTCTTCTGTTTTCTAGTTTTGATCGGTTTCAATTATAACAATAACATAAATGGAGAGGCAGGGAGGGGAAGAGGTTGGGCTTCAATATCAGTGGTTTAATACTACAGCAGCATCAAACAACAGCAACCCTATTGTTCCTTCTTCCTATACCTTACCCGAAAACCACCTCCGCCGCGAATCGGCTTCCGAAAACCATCATATCTATTGGGATCCTACCTCGGGGAACCCTATTGTTTTTCAAAACGCCATGTTGCCAAACAATCCCTACCAAAACCTTACTCCCTCACAGAATACCAATCCGAATGATCATCTTTTTTTCCCTGCCAATAGTCTCCAAAACTCACCATGTACCAATAATCTCAACATCAACAGTACTGATTTTGCCGATCAAGCCCAACACCATCAGCTGACAGCAGCCTTGAATCGGCTAAGCATATCGAATCATCATCAGTCCGGTGGTGCCACATCAAATCCAAGAGTAAACAGCTCCTTAGGAGGTAATGGATTTACTGCTCAATACCAATCTTCTCATTATATCCGAGAGGAGGAGGAATATTTGGAGAGGTTGAAAAATCAGTATGTTTTGTTAATGGCCGAAATGGATCAGTACATGAGGCTTCATGGATCACCAGTTGCCAATCATGTTACTACTAGTAATCATGCTCTCCCCCATAGGGCAAATTTTCCTCTAACAGATGTGGGATCTACCTATACAGGAGCGAGTCGGGTCGGGAGTATTACTTCTGATCAATTTGGTTATGGATATAATCCAATGAGGCCTAATAATCCTGTTCGTAATGGTGTAATTAGTAGCAGGGGATCAAGGTATGCTAATGGATCTGGGCGACAGCGTTTGAGTACTAGTTACTCATCATCCTCATTGGAACAAAGGGGCCAAGTGATGACCAGTAATTCAGTGGCTAAAGATGGATCAAGGTTTTCTAATGTCTCCGTACGGCAGCAGCATCCAACTGCTTTCAATCTATCCTTGGAAGAATTAAGGGGCAAAATTGCTTTGGTGGCCAAGGATCATGTGGGGTGTCGTTTTTTGCAGAAGAAGGTCGAGGAGGGCAAACCAGAGGAAGTTGAGATGATTTTTAAGGAGGTTATGGACGCAGATTTGCGTGACTTGATGGTTGATCAATTCGGCAACGAGTTCATCCAGAAACTTGTTGAAGCAACCAACAAAGAAGGACAGTCCAAAATGCTTGACTGTGTGATGAGTGATGAGAAAAAACTCAAGGACATTTGCACTGATCAGCACGGGTACAGATGATATGATTTTCTACTTTTTTGTTTTATTTATTTTATTCAAAAGAGGGTGAGGACAAAAGTCAAAATCTTAAATTTTGTGCCCTTGTAAAGTTCTTTACCAGTGAAGCTATAAACTCCTACAAGATATTTACTTTTTGGGAATCGAAAATTCGACAAATTTTTGATTGTTTAGAAGTGTTTGATGTTGCAGAAGTCGAGCAATGCAGAAATTGCTAGAGAGAGTTGAGACCCGGGAGCAGCAGTCCTCGTTCATGCGACTTCTGAAGCGCATCACAATTCCCCTCAGCAAGACTCAGCCTGGTTACTATGTGATTCAAGTTTGCTTGAAACATTTCTCTCCTGAATCCACCAAGGTAGTCATCTTTTCACTATTTTTGTCATGTAGCTTACTGTGTGTGATTGCTTTACTTCTCAATGGTTTATCTGTGGAAGATCAAGGCGTGCATGGGTTTAGTACACACACATTGGCTTTGGAAAAATGAATTTTGTTAATTTTTGGTGATCTTAATTTTATCTTCTAAACCAAATCTACCTCCCACAGGGCATCCTGGAATTGGTGTTAGAGAACTGCCTTGCCCTAGCAAAGGACAAATTTGGGTGCTGCTTAGTGCAAAGCAGCGTTCATTATGCTTATACAGAGGCAAAGGAGCGTCTTGTGGCTGACATAACTGAACATGCTCGAGTCCTCTCTGAAGATCCCTACGGGTTTGTCCTTTACCTCTACCTGTTTTCCAGATAGGTAAAATTACTTGTACCACAGACACACACCCCTCAATTGGGAAAGAATCTTACCTACAATCGGAAATAGGTTTCTTTGTTTGTATCTACAACACCCATTATGCGATGAGGTGATGATTGTTGTAGATATAAAGGAATATACGCCGGTGACACGTTAGATTCTCTCTTCAATTGGAATCTTTAAGATACGATGCAATCATCTTCTGGTAAATGTTTTATTAGAGAAATGTCCAAGATGATAGATAAATTGTATGAGTTGTAAAATCACCTTCTTTTTTTGTCGTTAGAGTGAATTGAACCATTTCACTTAACCTAATCCTAACTTATTTCTTCACTTTCCCCACATCTTGTGGAAAAGGGATTGTAAAATCACATTTTTTTTTCTCTTAATTTCTTTTTGTATATGTATTGCATTTGGAATAATCTAAATGGACAATCATACGGGAAACCTCTAACGCAGTAACCGACTTTTAGTGGAAATCCTTGCTTATATTAAGGATTTTCCAAACAGTATGATGTATTCTATTGTTAGACTATCAATTCAATATGAAGTTGAGAGCAATTTTTCATATATCGCTTATTTCTTGAGAAGAGATGGGAAGCATACTATTTCATTTGACTTGGATTCTTGTTTTAACGGGTGATATGATGATGAAACGTGTCTCTAATATTATCTTTTTTTTGTTTTGATTAACCACCAGGAACTATGTTGTCCAGTACATAATTGGATTGAAGATACCTCGTGTAACAGCAGATATACTAGCACAGCTGGGAGGGAGTTTTGTTAATCTCTCCATGAATAAGTATGGTAGCAACGTGATTGAGAAAAGCTTGAAAGAGGCTGGAGAAGAACATATCAATAGGATTATTAACGAGATGATTAATAGTCCCAATTTACTGACTCTTCTTCAAGATCCTTATGGGAATTATGTTGCTCAGTCTGCTCTGGGAGTATCCAAGGTAAGATCATCCCGCAAAATGCTTGTGCGGCATTGAAACTGTTCACTTCTTGTTAAGATTGATTAGGGCAATACTCATAAAACCTATTAAGAAATAAGTTCCCACATAATCATATAACTAAGACAATCAACTATAGTAGCAATATGATATGTCGAGAAATGTTCTTTTGTCAGACAGATTGATACATATATTATTGTTTGACTATCGATTCAATCAATGCTAGGAATAATTGCCCACACATGCATGTTGATCGGTGACTTTCAGTTGTTGCCACATGTAGGCATGTGAGTGACTCATAACTAATAATGCAATGTAGACCCACATGCATCAACGGCTGAGAGTCGTAATTTGAACATGTGATGTCAGATTGGTAGTCTTATGACATATGTAATGTAAAAAAATTCTTTGGTTTCTTGAACCTCCTTTGTTGATAGTTGGACACACATAACATACTACTTTGGTACAAATTTCAAACTTTATTCTGTGACCAAACTGAATCCTGGAGATTTGGAAATTTGTTCAAATTTCCAAGATCTAAACCCATCTGCCCTTAGCTCTATTGCATATGTCATAACCTAATTTTTTGTTCCTTGTGTCAAAGCAGGGAGCTGCTCATAATGCTCTTGTGCAACTCGTTCGGAGCCATTACCCTTATCTTCACAGCCATCTCTATGGAAAGAGGGTGCTTGACAAAACCAGAGGACACAGGCATCGTTGCTAAAAAAAACATGTAAAACTATAAAGTTGTAGCTTCAGCAAGAGCTTCCTGATCTATGTTGCATTATTATCTATCCTCTCTCTGTCTTTAGATGTTGTTGCTAGGCAAAACACAGTAGTAGCAATCTTGTTGTGGTTTGCTAATTAAGCTACAGTTTAAATTTAGGAGTGACTTTTGTTGTTGTTTCTAGGTACATTGCTTGTATGTTGGCTTTTTAGGCCCCTTGTGGTAGGGAAGTTTAGCGCAGGAAAAGAGTTAATCTGCTCTGTGATGGCATGTTTGAAGTGTTTGATGCACTGCACTAGCCATTGAGTGGATGTTTGTAGATTATGGGGCTTCCCAATGTTGCTAGTTAAGTTGTGTCATAGGGTTCGGATTGATTTATAATATAATCTATGTTGTTCTTGAAGTTTTTGATTTTTTAAAATCTTTTCAGTCAGTTTTAAAGTTTTTTATTAGAATAATACGTGTCTGAACAACCGTCAATTATTCATGTAATGTGAGCGATTGTCATTAGCATTTACTTTTATGTTTTCTTGCTAGAGAATTACTTTGAACTTCCAATAAAATTGGTGCATGGAACTCCGTAAAAAAAATCAATGGGAATTTGTGCACAATTTTAAAAACTATCACTTTGTAATTGACTATCAACTAAATCAAATTATTCAATATTTTTTACTCTCTTTTTTGGTACAAGTAAGATTAAGGGATGACCTTTGTTATTCGTGATGAGAAACTTCCCTTCGCTGGGTGGGATTAAGACTAGTTTTAAGATGATAATCCTTGAAATTTCTAATAAAAAGACTTATCTTAAAAGATAAATATAAAGAAGAGTAGATTATGCAGATATGCTGATAGGTAATAATTATCCAGATTTATCCTCGTTCTGCTTCCATTCTTATCCATTTTACAAACAATAATTACAAAATACAAAAGAAAACCAAAACAAACAAAAAAGGAAAAGGAAAAGGGGCCTCAAATTTTTCTTGAACCCATTATTTTTGAACATTTCTGTGAGACGTATAGAAAAATAGTTTTTTCATTTAAACCCTACACTTTTCTTTGTTCACCAAAATACTTAAATCATTAAGCTCTTAAGTTTTATTATTGTGTAAAAAGACAAAAAAGGTCATCAAACTTAATATTAACCCTACTATATCTATACACACACCCCACCACTCTTCATATTAAGTTTTAGAAAAACACAAACTCTTCTACACCCTATTGCTAGATTACTCATCTTTCAATTCAAGAAACCTACTACTCTCATCCTCTCTTCACAAAACCTCCAGTTTATTTTCAGTGCTGCTACACATTTGACAACAGTGTTTTTATCTTTTTAAGTAATGTGAGGTTGAGGTGAAAGTACAGTAGTAAGGGGCAAGATAGCAGGGTGTGAGGTGTGGGGTTGATCAGTTTTTATTTTATTTTAATTTTTGCTGGGTGTGTATTTAAGAATAGTTTGGGAAGATAGTGGGGTTTTCTTGGAAATTTTGAAAATTTGAATTAGAAGTTGGGGTGAACAAAGAGAAGTGTAGGGTTTAAATAGAAAAACTCAAGAGAAATCAGAACCCCACATAGCTGAAACCAAACAAAACATTACTAGGTAAGCCATAAGAAGATTTCAAAATTTTACCACCTAATGGGGAATTAATATTTTGCAGAAGCTCACAGAACCTTTGTTTTCTCTTTCTAATACAAGCATAAACACTAATATGTAAAACCATCTAGATGATGATCTCAAGAATATAATACAAACAGAGGCAGTGTAAGTAATACATCTGAACTTCAAATGAAGCATAAACTAGGCCATTCCACCGAAGCCAGTGAAGCTGTGAGTTCAAAAATGGCGAAGGATGAACAGTCCACTTTCCAATAACAACCAAAATAAATGGATAAGTTTCACTCTGAATCCGACGAGTCCGCGTTGCTGCTTTGCCGGACACTCCTGGTTTTTGCACTAGACTTTAGAGACGATTCACCCTCAAAGAAGATGACTTGGGCTTTAGCCAACCTCTCCTCCAGTTCTTCTGTGCTGAAGTCGTCTTTCCCACCAAGCTCATCGAATCCGACCTGTTGCACAAGAGGACATTGGGGGTTAAAAAGCAAATTATCAATTTTGCCTATGGTGTGTGTGCATGTCCTTCCTATAACATACCACATAATCATCCACTTTGGCATTCTTAATAAGGGCAATGGTTGGAAGAACAACAATCTTCAGCTTCTCTGCTAAGAATGGACTTTTCTCAGCATTGATCTTCACAAAACGTGTCTCCATGTGTTGCTTCGCTAATATACTCAAGTGCTTGTCCACCACCTACAAATGAACTGTAAATATGGATCACTTGTCCTAACTGTTGAGTTAACTTCAAAAGTTATACATATAATTATTAAATTGAACCCAGGAAATTTACTGAATAGTTCCAACAGCTAGAACAGATTGTTTAAAAGCCCCCACTACTTCTAGGAGGTCAAACATTTTGGGAATAAGCAACTCAAACCAGGTACCTGTTCAAAGTTCCCATGCAAACCCCAAAAACATTTTAGTTGTAATACCTTCACATCAATTACCTCTAACTCTCCTCAACAACATGCATCTAAGATATAATTAACAAACCCCACAAATTTGTGAACAATGTTTATGGCTTTTGGCTTCCAATCAATAAAGCCCAAATACAAAAAGCTTCGAAAAACAACTCAGGGAAACCATAAATGCTAGGTTTTGAAACCAAATAGACAAAAACGATGTAAAAACAGTTTGAAATTCACTTCATCTGCAAATGCAGATCAATGATCTATGATTTGATCCTTATCAACTGGGTACCTAAAAAGAGTCACCTACAACTCCCTGTTTCCATTCATACTGTTTCTCTCATTACTAAAGTCGCATCCTGCTCTCTCTAAACCAATACCAACTTTACCCATTATGAAGCACAGCCCCTACATACATTACTTCCCTCACTCTCTACTAATCAAAATTTCAAAATTGTTGGAATATCCCATATGCTAATTTTTACACTTTATCTCAGAAAACAAGACAGTTAAACACTTACACCCAAAAATGCCTCCCAAAACCATAACTTAAACAGAAAGTTTGAATTTTTATGTAGTGGAAATTAAACAAAAAATGTAAACTATACCTTGCAGGGCCAATTTTCACGGTAAAAGTGGCAGACGACGCGGTCACTGGCCTTGACGGCGGAGAAGAACTCCTTCTCGGAGGGGATCTCGGTGTACTCGCCATGGCCGAGGGAGATCCAACGGCTGCGCTTCGCCGCCACCTTCTTCATCTGCTGAAGCCTCCGCTCTCTGAGCGCCTCCAGATCGTCATCGTCCACTCGATCTAGGGCTGCGATCTCCTCGTCAAGCTTTTCCTCCACCGCCTTCGCTACTGTCAGCAATTGCTTCTCCAATATCTACAATCAACCATTGCAAAGTTCAATTCTTTTTAATAAACATAAATGTACATAAGCCACAGGAAAAAGAGAGAGAGAGAGAGAGAGAGGTACCTCTTGGACCGCTCGGTTCTCCATTGTTGAATTGAATAGATTTTGCAGAAGCTTTCGTTCAGATGAAAAATGGGATTAGAGGGAGGGAGGGGGGAAGAGGGCGGGCCTATGTTTCCTTTTGTTCTGGACCGTAGGGGAGGATGCTAATATCAAAACGTCGCGTTTTGGTGCTTTGGGTCTGAAATTGAACTTGGGCCTTTGAGCCAATTTGTATTCCTTACCTTTTGTTTTTTTTCTTTTTTGGTTGGAGTATTATATATTAGAGAGATCTGTTTTTTCATATTTCATATTTGTTTTTTTGGTAATTTTCTTCTTTTATTTTTTTAGAATGAGGATCCCTTCGAATTTGGTATCAGAGCTTAGTTTAGCACCTTATAATCTTGATGATAATTTAACTGATAATGAAAGTATTTATAGTGTTAATGTCTTGGACTCAGAATTTGTTTCATTTGTTATTCAAATTCTTACTTGTCTAATAAGTTACATTGTCTAAAACAGGGAAAAACTATTATAATTATGTTATTATCTTGCTAAACTAATGATCATACTTTGTTTGAGCACTCGGTCATGTTTGATATTTGTCATAACAATAATTGGATGTCTATCAGGAAATCTTTGAGTTATGCTCACATAGTCCTTTAGGTTGGTGTTTTTGCAGTTCCATGTTCTAGGCGCGGTGTCTAGTTCTTTAAAATTTGTTGAATAATTAAAAATAGAAGTACAAAAAATACAACTCATCTGGTTTCCTCGATGTAGTCTTAAAATAAATCTTAGATTCAATTTATAGTCTTGATGATAACTTAAGTGCTAATAAAAGTATTTATATTGTTAATGCCTTAGACATCTTTATGTTGAAGTGGGACATATTAGACCTAAGTGTGTCAATATCTTATTTGTATTCCAATGTAGATTTTAGTACAAACCTAGCAGTCATAGGATGTATTCCCAATTATGTCATGAATATTAGATAATTTAACTGTTGCTGGTATTGCTAGCTCTTGAATATTAACAATTATCGGCGTATTAATAGTCTTATTCATTAACATGAATGGAGCATTTTGGAGTGTCATCCACTATGTTTATTTTAAAATCTTCCTAATTGATGAGCAAGAAATATAAAATTCCTTATATAGGAATTGAACAAATAAAATACTATCTTTAGTCTTAGTATTAATATGGTAGAATATAGAGAACTACATTTACAGCATATAACCAGAAAACCATTTTAATTACTCTATAATTTTTATTAGAATATGGTTATTTAGGTCAACTTTATGTTGAAAATTGATCTCCATATCAAAATTACATTGGAATAAAAATAAGATATTGGTAAAACTAGACATTATTAATCCAGATGATCGTGAGTCTAGTAAGATAATAACATAATTAATAATGTAAAGATATTGGCAATAGACATTATTAATCCATCTTGTTCTTCTTGCAAGGGCATTCATGCTTGTTGAGAAGGCACTCTTCAGGCAGAGCATATCCAATTAAACAATATGGGTAGAATATTTCAGATGTATTTCATTCTCCGAAAGGAGGTATTTATAATACAAGGTTACAAACCCTAGTAGGGTTATACTAGGAAATAAGAAAAGTCCTAATTACATAATATCTATACAAAAAGGAAACAAATAAAATCCTAATATAATAATAAAGAAATATCCTAATAAGACTAGGATATCTCGCCAACACTCCCCCTCAAGTTAGAGCAAAGATGTCACGCATGCCCAACTTGTCAAGCGAGTTGTGGAAGATACTAGTAGAAACAGCCTTCGTAAGGACATCTGCTAACTGATACTCAAAACTGATGAATAGGAAGGAAACAATCTGCGCATCCAACTTTTCTTTAATGAAATTTCGATTAACCTCCACATGCTTTGTACGATCATGTTGTACAGGGTTATGAGCAATTGCAATCGCAGCCTTATTATTGCAATATAAATCCATAGGTTTCTTAGGCCCAAAGCCAAGATCTCTCAATAATCTCCTCAACCACAGTAACTCACATACACCATGGGCCATTCCACAATACTCGGCCTCAGCACTAGATCGAGACACCACCTTTTGTTTCTTGCTTCTCCAAGTAACAAGATTACCACCAACAAACGTAAAATACCCAGACGTAGAACATCTATCAGTAGCCGAACCTGCCCAATCCGCATCGGTGTATCCTTCCACATCTGTATGACCATACTTGGACAACATTAACCCTTTGCCAAGAGTTACTTTGAGATATCTCAAAATACGCGTCATAGTTGCCATATGATCTTCACTAGGTGCGTGCATAAACTGACTCACCACACTTACTGCATACGCAATGTCAGGACGTGTATGAGCTAAATAAATTAATTTCCCCACAAGCCATTAATAGCACTCCTTATCAGTAGGAACTTGATCAGGATATAACCCCAACTTGTGATTCTGTTCACTAGGAGTATTAATTGGTTTACAATCCAACATTCCAGTTTCTGCAAGTAAATCCAAAACATACTTCCTTTGGGACAAGAAAATACCATGCTCAGATCTGGCCACTTCAATCCCGAGAAAGTACTTCAAGTCACCTAATGATTTCATCTCAAATTCAGACGCCAGATATTTCTGGAGACTCTGTATTTCTGTCTGATCATCTCCAGTTACAATCATATCATCAACATAAATTATTAAAGCTGTCAATTTACCTTTCCGACGCTTCAGAAACAGAGTATGATCCGAATTACTTTGTACATACCCAGACTTCCTCATAGATGCAGCAAACCTCCCAAACCAAGCTCTTGGAGACTGCTTTAATCCATATAAGAATTTCTGTAGTTTGCATACCATACCCTCCTTAGAGGTTACATGGATACCTGGTGGAGGGTCCATGTATATTTCTTTCTTGAGGTCACCATGAAAGAATGCATTTTTGACATCAAATTGTAACAGAGGCCAATCATGATTAGCAGCCAAGGACAAAAGTACGCGTACAGTATTGAGCTTTGCTACCGGAGCAAAGGTCTCCGTGTAATCCACTCTATAGGTCTGAGTATAACCTTTCGCTACCAACCTTGCCTTGTAACGGTCAATGGAACCATCAGTCTTGTGCTTTAGAGTAAACACCGATTTGCACCCAACTGCCTTTTTTCCTTTTGGTAAAGGGACTAGCTTCCAAGTGGCATTCTTATTTAAGGCTTCCATCTCAACATGCATTGCATCTACTCATTTTGGATTTGATAGAGCATCCTGCAACTTAGTTGGCACACATACACTAGATAATTGACACAAATATGATGCATATGACTTAGACAGCCGATGAGTTGACACATAATGATTAATGGGATATTTAGATTTGGCATGTATATCAGGGGATCAGGGGAATATTGCACTTTAGGTGTACCACGAGTAGTGCGTGGGGGTAAGGGATAAATAGATACATCATTAGAGAGTACCTCATCATCATCACGAGTTGATTGGGACAATGGCAGGGCAGAGGGGGGCCTTATATCAATCTCATCTTCACAGGAGTCACCAATATCACTGTTACATTCTTCTGGCGAAGGGCAAATCTCATCAAGGAATTCA